TAGATTTACGTAACTGTTATTTAACACAAGCATCGGTTACTAGGGGTCTTAAACGTCTGATTCTCCTAAAAACTATATTTGTCACCGTTTAGTTGTAAAAAATATCTGCCGCTCCCACGAATCGGGATGTACAATTGCAAGCTAAAATCAATACTCCCCCTGAAGTAGATGGATAGTCTCTTATACAAAAACACAAGCACGTCCTTGTCTTATCTCTAAACCAAATTCATGCAAAATTTGTTGGTTAATTTAGAAACTTTTTCCGCGCTATGTGTTCACAAACATGAAATGTCGTTTACCGTTCGATGACTGTTAACAGCGTGCGTCTAATCAATAAACCTAAGCAAACCAGTTGGAAAGCAAAAATGAAAGGGAGAAAGAGTTCTTTGAAAGCGTTTCCCGTTCTATCGGAAGATTGAGGGCTAATGACATTGGCTATTTAATGTCTATTTCAGACTGTAATGTCATTAGTTGAGAATTAGAGGCCATGATTTACTTTCACAACGTTGGTACTTTATGACGTGGTAACGAAAGGGGATTTTTTTCCCATTTCAATCAATTTTAGCAAAATCAAATTGGCGAATTACCTCCCTCGTGGGGGAATGATAGTCCGTCGCATGGTTCTAATAACCGAGACTCAGTGTGTTGTCCTTGATCCGACAACGTGTGTTAAAATGTTTTGATCAGCTGTTTTTTATCGAATCCGAGTTTCAGTTTTAATGTTCTTTGATTGCGTTGGTAAATTTTGTTCATATGTTAAAACTTGATTCAGGATGGATAATAAGTGGTAGTAATTATCACCTGCCAATCTCAATACAAGTTTCTTCTTTCGGGTAGTTTTTGTATCAATTTCTTTGTGAAAAAAGCTCTGTGTTGCCAACTCATATTGCACGTTAATCAACCTCGGAGCTTAAAGAAACCTCTTCTAGAACGACTCTTTATGTACCTCAGACGTTATCTATATGTCAAATGTGAACGAAACTATCTACAAGTCTGAAGTAAACATGGCAAGTTAAAACATATTGTGACTACCTAAGCCACCACATCTTCAGTCCTTCACAGTTGAATGTCTTTCGTCAAAATTCATAACATGAACGTCCCTAAATTTACTTGCCATGTGTTAAGTTTGCAACAGCATATAACCTTTAACCTATTACCTTTTCCAGATTGCTTTAAGAAAGCGATCAAGTCATCTTTTCTATGACGTCAATTAATTGTCTTGGGAGTAGTCTTAAAACGTCACTTAAAACGGTAACATTTGTCATTATGTTCAAGTTGTCATTGTTTGAAATTAAATTATTGCTTTGTAAATGTCTGATTATAGGAATTTGTCAGTCAACATATAAGTTTCAACCTGCGAAAAAATCCTCTTAATGAGTTCAAAGTAGGGCATTAACTTTCGTAATACATAACTTGCATGAACTGAGCTAAAAAAACAAGCTGTTAGCATAATTGGAGAGCGATTTTTCTTAGCGGCTGAACCAAGGTTGAGAAAACAATGAAATCATTATTTGACGTTTGGACATGCGTTGACGTTTATTTTAGGCCAGCTGATCCGATTCCTTTGGAACGAGAAGGAAAGGAGCGTTTCTGCTCCTAAATCATAAGCATCGCCATCAAAGATGGGCATTGATTACTACTCGGCAATAAAGCAAGACTCAAAGTTGTTCCTCATTTCTATTTATTGAATTGCCATTACGAAATCAGTCTCTCTTCGTTTCGACGGTCTTAGAGGCTGAGCTTTGAAGGCGATGTGATATTATGAAGAAAGCCATGCTCTCAGGTCGGTTTTGATTTAGGTAAATTTTATTCTTTCGAGAGTTGAGTAGCCTTTTAAGACTTTCTGATGTCTTGATAGAAGTTATCTATTGTCGCAGACACGATTGCTGGTAATTTGATAGATTTGATGAGGCGATAACAGGTTTTAGTCTTTGATGTGGAAATACGTCTTCAAAGGCCTCTATGATGTATTACGAGAGCGTTATAACTTCATTGTTGAAACCGAGGCAAGGACGTTCTCTGATTTATTTCATGAATATTGATTTTATAAGAACAAATGACATGTTATGTGATATGTCAGAAGACAGCATAGAGGTAATACCTTTCCATAAATATGAAAGGACATTCAGGTCAAGGCATATGCTTTCGTTTGTAAGATATGAGTGATGATCTCTCGCCACCATGGAACAGAGTATGGAACTGGAACTATGACCATCAACGTGTGATGATCCGATTCAGGGGCTACTTCTGTGAGTGAACTTCGCATGTATTTCCCATAGGGGAAAAGGGTCTAGACTCCCGGGCAAAATAAAGTATGCACCTGTGTTTGATAGCGACTGAAAATGAAACCAATAACGAATGGTAATTCGATGGTGAAGTATTTGTTACGGGTTGGTTGGTTTGTTGTTTAACGCTGCACTCAGCAATATTCCAGCTATATGACAGCGGTCCTTTAATAATCGAGTCTGGACACGACAATCCAGTGATTAATATCATGAGCATCGATCCACGCAATTGGGATCGATGACATGCATCAACAAAGTCAGCGAACCTGACCGGCCGATCCCGTTAGTCGCCTTTTACGACAAGCATAGTCGCCTTTTATGGCAAGCATGGGTTGCTGAAGACCTATTCTACCCCGGAATCTTCACGGGTCTTGATACGGGTGTCATCCTTGTGTTTTAGACCTTAACTTTGCATTGTTCATGCGACTGTGTTCAGCCCAGTAACGTTTCGAAAACGTTTGCAATGTCTTGGTCAAATCCAATTTTCAAGTGTATACATTTTTTATGTCTTTTCCTTACAGTTAATGTGCAGTCATTTTGAGTAATTATGATTTTGGCTTCATGCTTTATGCTGATTGGCTAGTTCATGCCGTTTTTTTATTCCACGTCATATCAATGCATTGTCAAAAATAAGAAAGGATGACGATGTCAATGTCATGTCACCGGCGTTTTTATATGACGTCGTTTAAAAATTGTCGACCACAATGTTCTACACTTTTTGTCAGAAAAACAAATATGGGTATATTGTGTAACCTACTCGCACCTCGGTATTACGGAATATCCGTCCCTCCTGAAATAATGTCGCCATGGCTCTGGTCTTCAAACATTTACTCGGGACAGGTTCTTCTATCAACCTCTATCTTTCACATGGCATCAAGACATAAATATACATCAGCGCACAAACCAATTTAACATTTAAGCCCCGTTAATCATCCGATCTAATAATTTGTGACCCTGAGAGAGTTTGCATGCAGTCGTCCGGATCACAGTTAAACGATTGTAAGCCTAATTTACGGTTTCTGGCCAAGCGATAATTCGGAACATATTTAACGTTGAAGTGTGGAACAATCAAAGGCAGGTGTTACTCTGTGGGGCATAACTATAAACAATATAATAGCTAAGCAAGTGTATACCTCATGATAAAATGTATGCAGCAACAATAATTAAGGAAGAGTTTTGCCATGGTTGGTTGGTTGGTTGTTTAACGCCGCACTCAGCAATATTCCAGCTATGTGCCGGCGGTCTGTAAATAATCGAGTCTGGACCAGACAATCCAGTGATTGATATCATGAGCATCGATCCACGCAATAGAACCTGTAAACCAAGACCAGTCATCTTACAAGCTTTTGTACCTGCTCTGGGGACACGGGTGGAACAGTCATCTATGCCACCGCAATTCGTTGTGCAGAGTTGCGCCCCTTGAGCACGCCAGGAACATATGATTTTGGTTCGAATCTTGGTTCGCCCCGTTTATGTTTCCAGGTTTGCCAGCACCATACCCCTTATTATTATTTAAAAATTATAATAAAAAATGCAGCAAAGAGAGTTTAGGGGATCCTGGCACTGGATTAGCTCATCATCAGCTCATTGCCCATCTACACACAGCCCAGACAGAGAATGGGACTTCTCACATGAAGCGCTGCCTAGTTTTCGGAGAATGTGAAGATTCCTCAAGGCTTCAGCCTTCTGCATCACCCAGATTGTCAGAAGGGCTGTATTCCTGACAGCAAACCCAGGTACTCTCCCAGTGTCAGTCAACAGATTGGGAGGTACCAAAACCTAAGGCACCGAGAACAATGGGAAGTCGGACAACCAGGTACTTGGGATGCAAGCGTGACATTTCGAAAGCGAGGTCCACATATTTGCCATGATTTTCCTGAATCTTGTCAATCACATAGGTGTCAAAAGGGACAGAAAATTCAATATTATTAATATAAATGATTTCATTGGATTTATCAAAACGGACAGACGTCTGAGACCTTATGCGGGCCTTTTCCAAAGAATGTTGTATTTATCATTTTCCATTACGCCCACTACATATTCTGGGATGTACAATGTATTGACCTCTGTGTCGAAACCACAAGCATGGAGAAGACGGTAATAAAATGATCCAGCCACTCCATCATGTCGCTTAAGATAGTGTCTTTGTGCCAGAGCTGGGCATCCACAGTGTGTTGGACAGTCTCATTAAATTCCTTGCATAATCTACATTTCATATTTACATTTTGATGATAAATCAAACATTGACGGTTTCGAGTGGGAAGTGACTGGTCCTTAGCAGCAAACAGAAAGCCGTCTGTTTCACTTTTCAGGCCAACCGACTTCATCCAAGCGAAGAACTCGGGTTGCCACATTTCTCAACAAACTGCACATAAACTCGATATAGTTGTCTTTCAGATAGCCTTTCCTTGAAAAACTGAGTCAGGGCCATTTGATAAGGAACTTCGCTTGGTTGACACTCATTTCTGTACCGTCCAGCAGAACAGATCATCAACAAATCAACATTAACATTGAGTTATGTCCCACATCCTTAGTACTAGTAGTGGTAATAGTAGTAGTAGTAGTAGTAGTAGTAGTAGTAGTAGTAGTAGTAGTAGTATCAAATGATTATTGATTGTATTGCTACAAAAACGTTGATCAGTAGGTTACTCGTGTAGATTATGGTTATCGTGTATGCTATTATCTTGATTTCTAATACCTGTCTTCTCGTTACAGCAAAGACCGATCAAGCAGTCTTTCTGTGGATCCCTCCGACGCGATGCACACTGGAAATGTCTCATTCTAACCCTCCTCATCTACGGGTGTCTGTCTGCCATTGCCTGGTGTAGACTGGCTGTCGTCAAGCGAGTAATACAAGAGTACTACTCCTTCACTCGCAGCCACATCGACAGGACCAGCCCATGCAACGACGGTTATATCTACATCCCCGTGGCTTTCGTCATCATGCTCTACCTTGTTTACCTCGTGGAGTGCTGGCACAGCCATACACGGATAGAGCTGCAATACAAGGTGGATATCAATTCAGTGTACGATAAGGTCCTGCAAATGAAAGATGCTATTCCCATCATATGGTGGAAGGCTATTTGTTACCATTACGTCAGAAGGACCCGACAAGTAACGAGATATCGCAACGGGGACGCTTTCACGTCGACCCAGGTTTATTATGAAAGAGTGAATTCGTGTACGGCCGGATCTGCGTTTAATTTTACCCATTGTGGAGTGAAGGATATATCAAAGTCGCTCGTTGGGTTAGAAGAATACCCAGCCACAAAGATCAGATTCACAAAAGGCTTCTCTTTTTCGACTATAGAATCTGAGTGTGAGTTTGAGGATCAGAGAGCTCAGTTCTTTCAGGACTACGAATCAAGAGACGATTACATGGAAGGAAGGGAAGGAATGGATCTACTAAATGTCAACTTCAAAGAATATATGATTGCATTCGCTGATCCAGATAATCTGCCTTGGTATGTGTCCCATGTGATATTCTGGCTGGGATCCTTTCTTCTCCTTTCTTGGCCTTTGCGTGTGATTATTGAATACAAAACAGCCCATTTGCATTACCACGTTCACAAGTTGTTTGGTACTAATTTAGTTAATCAGCCAAACCCGATTTCTAGAGTGAGTACAATGAATAGCACAGATCTGGAGATGAATATACGTAATAATAACGCTATTGTGCCCAGCTATTCCGAGGCAATGCTTCTCGAACCCTCTTTACAAAGGTTCACTTCCGATGCAAATGGAAATATCAGTTCATCAGGATCAGCGACGCCAAGGAGTTTAACATTCTCTGCATTACCGCCTTCAAGGAGTAGTGGCTTTATACGTGCGTTTTTCTCCCGTGATGTCCTGTCGAACGTTCGGAGATACAACAGCTGCACGGCGATTACCGGAAATACGCGAGTGGTAAGTCGAGCAGACGATAATCTGTCCGGAAATGAGGACGATGACATCAACAATTCCGGTTCAAACCGAAGGAGACGGAGACGAAAGAGGCGAAAGCGTCCCACAAGTTCAATCACTTTCGCTCCTGCTATGCGTAACACAGTACTTCCACCCACCCCCGAGACACCCGAAGATCACATCATATCGATGCATCCGTCTGCGTCTTCCGTCTCAATGTCAAGGTTAAGTAGCCGAGGTGGTCTTAACGACAATCCGTCATTCGTCCAGGACAGTCCGCGTCACGTGACACATAATGCCGTTAACGCAGACAGGCGACCCACTTGCCCAGTGAACGGAAATCAAACCAGTGTCGTCAGACCATTACACCATAGTCATTCATACGACAACCCTCTAATGTCCAGTGTTGATCAGATTGACACTGATGATATGCAAACCTCGGGGACAGGGGACGACGAACCTCCACCGCCACACTATGAGGAGGCCCTGCAAATGCAAAGGGTAAATGACGCAGCCGACGGACCCCCGACCCAGTACCCAGTGGGGGAGGAGGCAGCAGGTCAAGGACAGGACAATCGCCGTCTCCTGTCCCCAAACACAGCACAAAGACATTACCGGACAATTCATTGCATGGAGACGTCGCTGTGATGACGTCGAGACTTCAGTTGTAACGAGTCGAATTAACAAAGGTCAGGCAGAATCCTGTTTAATGTTTAATATGAATCGTTAGTTTCTGCTATTGCGGAAACCGTTATCGTTCAGTGGTATTTTAGAAGCTATCAATGAATTATTCTCATGTACTTCAGATGTATTCTTTCAATGCCAGGTGCTAGCATCACACAAGTGATTGACAGCTGGGTTATGGTTAATTTGTTTAAATAACATTTACACAGAGATTAACAAACAGAGTGACAAATGATGACGGGATGATGGCGACAACTTGCATGATAAACGATACAAGCATCTTCACCGAAACGTAGCATTGAATACACAAAGAAGCTGAGCGCTGTCTTTATCTGTTAATAAGGAAGTCCTTCTCTGTCTGGCCATCTTCATCAACACTGGTAAGACGGTTTGGTGAAGCTGGACAATCAGCTGTATGAAGCTTCATCAGGGTGCTAGTATTTGCACCCATAGATGAAGAAGTTGCCCTCCGAACAATTGCTTGGTTTTAATATTAAGGCAATATGTGAAGCTGCTCATATCTTCATTTCCATTGAAGATCCTAATTCAATGAGTAGGTAAGCTTGGAAATCTTGCGACTCTGAAAATATGTATTGATGTAAAGTGTAGCAGTAATATACTATCCAACGTTTGACAAGGATACTAAGATGGGAAAGTCTTGACAAGACATACCAACTAAATTACAAATACATAGATTTGCATGTTCTGGGATAAAAGCAATGTCACATTCGAAAGTTTATTAGTATCGTCATATATTACATTATATTTGGTCTGGTATATTTAGAATTATGCGTATCATTATCAAATACTAAACAACCAAGTTGATGTTGTTTATCAGTACATATCATTTTCATTTTGATTCAATATTGCTATGACGGATGACAAGAAGACAGTACTTAATATTAAGGCGTAATTTGAATGGATTAATCGATTTATGACAATCAGTGAAATTGTTAGCAAAATTTGTACATAACATCAGTTCACCTAGATGGTTTGTTTTTTTAAAACTTCTTAATTGAAAAGATTTTATATTTGATGAACCTATGGGCTTATATGCTCAGAATCTTTCTCAAGCTCAAAACATTTCTTACAAGCTGCATGTATGTACAGATATTATGTTTCATTTTAAATTATATATTATGCAAGTGGAACTATTGTATCAATTGTGTCCAGCGTGTTTCAGCGTCATCTCCGAAGGATACTGTTGTGCATCATCCAGTTCGAACCAATTACCATCACAATAGCCGCTACATCAAACCGGTCTTCTGATCATTTTTTAATGAAGATGCAGCTGGCTACGTACCTGCTCTTATCTCGTCATGCGTAGATGGTAGATGTTATAGGAACAATTTGGACATATATCGCAGCGCCAAAATGTGTTGCTTCCTTCCGCCCGTTTCACGAAAGCGATGTCTTCGCAAAGATGTCCGCTAACGGATACCTGGTGCATTTTGGGTAACTCTCCGGTGTTAACCGTCAGCAATTCGGCCAATGGAAACCACGCATTTTGGTACTGTGAACCATGCAAATATGATGATTTTCATGTTCATTATTGATTAAGGCAATTGTGATTAATTGCACTCTAAATGTACAATGTTGCCTTTGAGGTATATTTATGCAATAAGGTGCAAATGTGCAATGACATTTGCACTTTCCAATAAACGTGTGACGGAAGCAATTATTATATAGCAGTGTGCAATATTGCTTATATTTCAAGGTTGATTTCGTCAATTTCAAACGTCGATCCCAGTAAATCAGGCGCACACGGTCGGTTCAATTGTCAGCATTTCCATTCTGAAATGCATATTGCCTTTATTTGTGACTGGCAGCTTGCCATGTATATTGAAGGCTTGGCGTGTTTCGTACGCGATGGTGTCATCGGTGAATGGAAAACGTTCATGGAAATGTTTCTGAAAAACTTACAGTCGTCATTCTTGGATTAACAGAATAACTGATCAAAAAAGCACGAGAGAAGATGCAGGCTGTTCTTATAAAATTGTTATGTACATTGTGACAGGTAATATGGTTATTTGATACTGATGCTTCTAAGTATTCAGACTATTTTGTGTGTGTTCCATTGCTCGTAAATGGTGTTCTGGCACTGGAAAACATTGTTAATCAAATAAGTTTTGCATCAGGAAATAGTTTCGGGTGTCTGAAACAAAGACAAATGTCAGAATTCCGATTGAGTACGTTGCTTTTTTAATGTTTAACTAAGAGTGAGTGGGTGATTGAGATGGGTTCTTCGCCACTTTGAACAATATTACTGTTAAATCACAGCGCGTAAACTTGGGGAGTAGAGCCAGATGTGATCCAGGTCTCTGTGAAATTCACAAACACCGACATGGTGCTGACAAACCTAGAAACATAATTGGGGCGAACCGGGATTCGAACCCACGATCCTGGGACACAACTCTGCATAACGAATTGCGGCGCCATAGACGACTGGGCCACCCGTGTCTAGTGTTTGACTTAGAATGTCTGCTGTTTACTTAGAAAACTCGGACGGTCGTGGTGCTTTAAAAACATATTTAATGGCAACATAACAGCAGTCCAACTGACATGACTAAATGTTGATATCAAACAAAAGTCAATTACAATCGAACTGAACATTTTATCGATATGTGGTTCAAAAATATTAAAAGTTAAATACAATTAATGGTACTTTTATGTAAAACGCTGTGAGCGACGGAGGTGATAACATGGCGTTGTAAACACTGGCCCTATATTTTTCATTTAAAGAGATTTTAAAAGTGTCTATCTGATAAAAACTTCTGTACTCCTGATAGAGGCTAGAGGACATCCTTTAAGGTAGTTATTTGTACATACGCCTAGTCCCCACACAGATATACTTGCAACCCGTGTTCTGGGGACTATTTAAAGACTGTGAAAAAAATGGCTATGTTCTGAGTAACGGTAAACAGCTCGAATAATACAGTCACCAACAGTGGACGGGAACATTTCTGAAATCTTGTTGTTTTTTTGTAGGATCATTCATTGTAGATAAAACTACTCATATGGTTTTTTTAAAACTATATTTCCGCTTGCAAAAATACATTCCTAGATGCTACAGTAACAGTGAACATTTCCCTTTGGTCATTCATTTTTTAAAGTAAAGACGAAACGGAAAACTAATCGTCTTTTTTTAAATTCCAAAAGGGTGTCTGAAACATGAAATATTCAGTCAAATGTCTTTTTGTGAATAAGTATAAGAGATATTCAAATTACAAGTCTCGAACACAGATGTGACATTTGTAATTTCCTTCAAAACCGAATAGGGGTTAGCGTGAGGTTTAACATTCATTCATTCGGACCGTTAATGACACTACCAAACTGAAGTAGATGCGTCGTTTTCAGCGTTAAGGGGATTTAAACCTTAACTGTAAACTTCTTGTCATCTCAACCCGCTGTCATAACCCAAAAAATGGTATGGCTGTTGCCAGATTTTTCATATAAATGAGAAAGAATAATGCTATGCTAATTACAAAACCAGCATGTCTCGGATAGACGACAACGCTAAATTGTAAAGATAAAGCTACAAAGTTACTCTACGAAGAGGCTAGTTTTAGAAATATTGGGAGCGTTTTTTTTCTGACATTTGTACATGAGCTAGTCTTTAATCCAAGCCGCTTTTCTTCGGAGGCGTAAAGTAAACAACAGCGACAAAACCTTTTTTCTATAATCACAATATAACACGTCAACACCAGGGAAGAACCAGTCTCAATTATACACCGAAACAGACTCCAATTGGCGTAAAAAGCAAAATAGTGGTGACAATTGAATGAACACTGAAAATCAGTGGTGACATGCTGTTCTAGCTTCCACCACTCGCACAATTTGCAAAAAAAGTGTTTGTTTGTTGTCTAACAACAGCACAACAATACTCATTCCATACGATAATCTCGATTGCATTAGTCTGACTATATCATATATGATACCAGGTGTTCGCGTAAAGATAAACGAATTCTGCCCCATCAGTGGCACCATTTACAAACACATGCAAAGGCAAGTCAATTGTTCCCCTGAACACTGGAACATATGGTACAAGTGAAAGTAGGTAAAGACAACTCAAGGTCATCTTGGGACAAAGACTAAAAAGGTCCTCATCTAACCATTTCCAATGGAAGCTGAACAGAATATTCTGAAGAACAAGGAATCGATTTGCTGAGGGTTAATAAGCCATTATGGAAGTGTCACAACTTGTTAATCAACTTGGTGACCCGTGTACAGTTATTATGATGCTATTTTTACATAAGCTGTCATCTTGGTTTGAGTGATGACGTATCCTCGTCGTAATGATGACCTGCGACCAGATGTCCTATGTCCCAAATGGAAAATGTTGCTTGTGGTGATTTTGTGATGAACTGTTTGTAGTTTTGTGATGAACTGTTTGTGATTTTGAAAACGATGAGACCTGGGTATTGAAAGGTGTTGAAATCATATCTTTGTTATTTATTTTTGTTGCGAGTGAGAATCAAAGTGTTTTTGCTGGTAAATATGCACCGATTGGAGACTTTTGGTCAATAATGAAATAATGCACCTTTGTTCACATGAATTATTATACTGATTTTTACATAAATAATAAAATGAACATCTAAACCGTGTTTGTTATAACTTAGGGTTTCATCACATGAGTACTGCAAACCACACCATCTTCGCTCCAAAACATACATCTCACAGATGATTGGCAAACACAGTAAGAAATACGGTCGGTACCAGGTCATTTGGCCGGGTACGATTCAATACATTTCTGGAATTCTTGGTACTTCAATGGAAAAAACCCGCATGCACAGGAACTGGTTATCTGATACCATTGCTTACTCTCTGGGTAGTTCTACTACGGATTTTGAACATCATCTATAGCTGAATGGAAGTATCGTGAAGAGAATATACAGTACGTGAGTAAGGGTTTTTAAGTTCCGCGCATGCACGTGTGTGTGACTGCTTGTACAAGTTCTGATTTGGGTAGCCTAGTTGTTTAAGCGTTCGCTCGTCACGCCGAACACCCGGGTTCGATTCTCAACATGGGTATAATGTGTGAAGCCCATTTCTGGTGTCCCCCGCCGTGATATGGCTGGAATATTGCTAAACGCGGCGTAAAATCATACTCATTCAGACTCTAGTCCGGACATGTGCCGGTCTTTATAGTGATAGCTTACCGAGACTCCGAGCCGACCAGTCTGTGGTTTATCCCCCTAAATCCCGAGCGCCAGGCAAAATAACAACAATTATTCTCGTTTTACATCTTTTGTATGACGCGGCCAGGGGATCGAACCACCGACCTTCCGCTCTCCGGGCAGACACTATATCCACAACACCACGCAGTCAGAAGGATGTATAAAACAAACATATGCATTTTGTCTGTTTCGAAAACACAACAAGGATTAAACGGTAGAAGTGGTGTCATTTGCTGTTTCGAATGTTGAAGTTCCGCCATGTCACCTCGTTTATTGTGAGTGAGTGAGGTACGTTAAACGCAGCTTCTATCAATAGCCCAGCAATATTGACTTCCCACACTGCCTTGTAGGAAATCGAACTCGGACTTCGGCGAGACGAACGAATACTGCTGGTCGTTGTGCACTATATGGTTTATGCTTCCTGCAGTGTTTTACTGTACGAAAAACAACTCCCACTCGTCGTTTATTCATTACGAAATGTGTATAGAACATTGACATATGTTTCAGTTGTCAATTGTAAAATTGGCCTGATACATATGTATTTACCCGCTCCTGTTCCATAAACTTCACGCAGGTCTTCAGTTTAAATAGCGATATTCTAACGTCAGTAAGCCTTAAGGTTCGTATCATGTAGCATAAGACAGGATATGTAGACCAGGGACACACACTGTGGACATTAAGGTCTGAAAGAAGGAAGAGCAGAACCAGAAAACTAAAATGCATCCTCTGTCAGTTCTCGCTAAGCTTTTTAGCACACAGGCGGGGGTAAAAAATGTGGTACTTATCTGTAACATATTCGGTTATAGATGTGAGGTGAGGTGAGCTTTGGTGAGGTGAGGTGAGATGAGGCGAGATGAGGTGAAATGAGGAGGTTAACGTTCATAGGTCCGCATACGTAACTTCGTCAATTACGATTAAAAATAAACATGTGTATTTTGGGTTTTTAGCCATAAGGTTAACAATAAGCTGCTCAACTAATGTAAACTCTGACGAGAGCAATTTTGCTTCACATACAAACTTCACGTCGTCCGCTATGTGTTTGCCTGCAATAGCGAGAACCAATGAATGCCGTATTTAGCGTCGTCCCATCGCAGCCTACGAGCCTACGAGCCTACGAGCCTACTCGTTCAGGTAGACTGGTGCCAAGTCACTGAAAAGAAGCCATTAGCACAAACAACGGACAGCAACAATCGGTTGATGGTGTAGGCATCAGGTACTACTTTTGTACCAGGAAACAAAAAAATGAGCTAGATGGTCCTAAACCAAAGTCATTACATTACAAGAATGATATATGCATGTAGATATTACACAGGGATCAGCACAAGCTACGCAGCAGTGTACATATCAGAGGTTGTCCTATATTATTAAGATCTAACTGTGCAGTATTGGTTATTATATACCAGGTGAACATTTGTTAACGAACAGATCAACAAATTGCATTTGATTTTATGAAGGCTTCTGTCAACCTTCATTGTGTCGATGTCAACTTCACAACCCGTGTCTCCGTGACCACCTGCTTTATTGGATAATAATAATAATAATCATCATCATCATGAGTCCATTTGTATGGCGGCAAACTCCATACCAGCTCGTGTGCTCATGGCGCTTACATAGTACAAGGGAAATGTTTTTAGTCTGGCCTTAAACTTCTTTGCAGTTTTTAGGGTTTCTGGGAGTGTATTCCACAGCATAGGTGCTTGACAGGAGAATGATCTGAAGCCATGTCCCTTTAATCTCCATCTTAAAGCACTACACAAAAGCTGGGATCTGGTAGGCTGCTACATTTGAATATATGATCTGTTATCATCAAAGGTATTAAGTCACGTATTGCAACAGTACTTGGAAATTTACTCAAATTTCGTAACAAATGACATATAAGCCCATCAATATGGGCGTTGTTACTTGACAGTTATTCGTTGTAACTAGTTCAACGTATTTAAGGTGAACGGTTGAATATATGCCTTGAGTGGAATTAAATCAAACAATAACTTGTTTACACCAAATATCTAATTGTCAGATAGTATATTAAAATGCAGATGGCATCCTTAAATTAATCTCTGATCTGCATCGAACTATTCTAATCAGGTTTGAGAACAACAACAAATTGTTACGATTCCCAAATTAAGACAATATGTTAACCCAGAAATCTGTACGTAAAAGAACTGAGTGTGGAACCAACAAACAAACCACAAATGGTATTAACTAACAATTGTATTACAAAATGAACCAGGTCTCAGAAAATCAACACACATTACTGCACAGCAATTACAATGGCAGTACGCAATAGAGTGGTAGTTCAATATTCAATGGTAGTATATAATACGATGGCAGTGGTCAGTATCAAATACAAAAATGCAGTGGTGAAAGCCAGTGATAATAATCGATTCATCCAGCGGCGACAGTGGTCAAGTTTCCGAGAAAGGCCTAGTCAAGGAATCCGTGGTGATGAGTGATCTTCACACGAAAGCTGGTCTTGATGTAATAAAATGTTTGAGAGATATGAGAGACCGCTCTTGTCCCCTTATATAAGTCTAACTAGCTACTGGAAATTCCACACAGTATCATCACAAACATAGAATATTCTTCATGTTTCTAAAACACTTTATCACAGTCCTCGGTATTCCGGAAGTTTACACATTTCAATAGCATCTTAATATAGTAACGTCCTAAAAACTATTTACATTAAATAGTACTACATTCCTGACAACTAATCACTTTCCAAACACAATGCAATGAGAGTCTACCGGATCTCAACAGAATCAATGTAACACAGTTACAATTATTGTTAAAAAATAAAATACACTGCCATATAACAACATGTACAACGTATTCATCAGCCTAAGGGAAGTGATACATATCATATCTTCCTTGGTTCTCTATTGATGCCATAGAGAAATACTCAGAGAGTTACTCAAGCTCAAAACATCTGCCAATACTCTAGAACTCGGAGATGCCCTACACTGCTCTATGATCCTCTGTGAATCTAAAAAATACCTCTGTAATGCGTCTCCATCCGATACACATACCATATACAACACCCAACATTTCCCTACAACGCCCCATCCCACCCTAAGAATATCTAAAACTCTATAACACTCGCTATTATCAGAAAGGGTGAAAAAGACTTGTGCTCATGTTTCCATTAAAGGAACGACCAAAGTTGGGTTTTTTTACCCTGATGTTCCCACGGACTACACACTTGTTCATGCCTACATTACATTTCCCACAAATGTTTGCATTTGATTAATATACAACGCTGATGGTATGAGCGGATCCTTGTATGCTTTCCTTGATTGAAAGTTTGATCAATGTTAAGCCTTGAGTGTAAATTCAGTTAACTTTCAGAAAAAAAGGTTCCAACGGTGTTCCCCAAATGTCTCAAAACAAAACAGTTGTGTCAACGCGGGTAAGAAGATTCCATCCAATTACATTAGATCGACAAAAACTTCCTCAAATTACAATGGCTGTCTGAAATAATACCCGATATCACCAGAGTTAAGGTGGAGCCACTATGATCTATTACAATACTGTACTTAATGATCAATACTTCATAGCAGAGGGCTTTAGTTCCTTGATTTTTCAAACGAGGGAGGACATTATCCGCGCGAGGTCGAACGAGAATTGCGTGTTTCCTGAATTGAAAATAATCAATTTGATGAAAATAGATGACCGAAAAGAAGTTCAAGATTTACAGCTGTGAAATAGAACGCTCCAAAACCGACCTTTCGGTGAAAATGGTGCTATAACTTGAAGAGATATTTCTGTCAAGGTTGATAAGGCGTGTTGCGATTCACAATCATTATTAAAAAAAAATATGACTAATTTGTGTTTCTGCCTGAGCTTATTGTGACATATTAATCATGCTTTATAATAACTGGGTTCACGGGCGGCCCAGTCGTCGTAGGCGCCGGAATTCGCTATGCAGAAACCTATGGTCGTGAGTTCGAATCCCAGGTTTGCCCCGAATGTGTTTCTAGGTTTGTCAGCACCATACCCGTGCTCGTTGGTTTCACCAAAGTGGTAAACGTCAAAGATCTGCATCCCGTCAGGCTTTCCTCCCAAACCTAGCTAAGATGCCGTGATATAACTGGAATAATGTCCAAAGCGGCGTTAAACCCATCTCACTCATTCGACCGCCTCCGTGGTCCTAGTGGTAGAGCGTCCGCCCGGAGAGCGGAAGGTCCGGGGTTCGATCCCGGGCCGCGTCATACCAAAAGACGTTAAAAGATGGTACTTGTTGTTACCCTGTCTGGCGCTCGGCATTAAGGGGCTAAAACAAGGACTGGTCGGCTCGGAGTCAGTTTACTGTGTCTGAGTGGGATATTCATGTTAAACTGCGGCAAGGTATCTCAGTGAGCTAGCACTATAAATCGGCTTCAGTCCGGACTAGTACAAGCAGCCACACAAA